CAAATAATTTGATATTTGCGTGTGATGGTGGAAGGGGTGGAGGATTTCTGGCTGTTGACATTATTTTCTCTTTTACATGGTAAAAGTATATACGTGCCAGTACATCTCTGGGAATAGAGGCTGGTAAGAAAGTTGGCTTGGGTATTCTGTGCGCCCGATCTATGGCGAGTTCCATATCCGTGAGTGAGGGAATTAGGATTTTTATGTATTGTTGGAGATATGGAGTCAGGGCATCTTTGGTAATTGATTCAGGTATGCCTCTAAATTTGATGTTATTGCATCTGGATCGGTCTTCTAAATCAGCTAATTTCAGGTTTATTTGTTCAATATCAGCTTCATGGTCTGCGTGTGCGTCAATCAAGTCGTTATGGGCTGTGAACATTTCTCCCATTTTGTTTTCAATATGGCGTATGCGGTGTTCTTGTTGTTGTAACACATTAGAGATTTGGGATAGTGACGCTGTAAAATCAATGTGGAGTGTTTGACGCAGAGAAAGAAGCATGTTTTTCATAGATATCTCAGTGATATGTTGATCAGAAGCAGGGAAAGATTCAATTAAAGACGGAGCAGAATTTTGAGGTAGAATTTATGAGATAAAGAGTTGGTTGTCAGGAGTGGGAGACGGGAGGAGAGGACTCACGCAGGTCTCCTGGGTACAGTGTTGCTCTTAATCTGGGATCTAGGTGCTGTGCTGCTGTATCTCTGTGTCCATTCATGCTGCAGCCAGCGCCATCTTGGCTGCATGAGGGGAAAGCATGGAAGAAGCTTGTCAGCTTCCCTGGCTGTCCTGGGGCTTTCCTCCTCCGTGGCATGGTAGACGAGGGGTTAATGTACCCTTATGTGTAATTTGAGTAACTCGGATCTCTCCATTGTCGGCATCTCTGCTGACAGATGGACGGAGCTCTGTCTCTCACACGTCCATCCCTGGAGCCGCACACCCCTCCCCAACCCTCATCACCATTTTTACATTCCTTGAAGCAATTGGTTTCATATTTGTGGAACAAGAGGCAGACAATCAAGGCACTTCAAAATGTTTTGGGCTCTCAGAACAGTAAAATGATGCAATGAGTAATATATGCTGTGGTGAATTATGGGACAAAATTGCATTAATAGTGGGAAAGGCTTAAAGGGTTGAAAAAATCCTGAATCTACTCTGGTTTGGTCAAGAATAAGAAAGTGCAAGGGTCAGGAATAAGTAAGACTGAAAGTACAGGAGTGAATCGTATGTAACACAGAGTGGAGGGATCAAGAATAAGTAATGCACAAAGTGCAGGGATCAGGTTGAAGTAAACACACATTGTGCTGGGTCAGGAGTAAGTAATGCACAGAGTGCAGGTTCAGCAATAAGTAACACACAGAGTGCATGGGTCAGGAGTAAGTATAGCAGAGTGCAGAAGATATGATAAATTAATACAGAGTAGGGTTAGGGGTGGGTAAACCACAGAGTGCAGGGGTCAGTAATGGGTAATGCACTGCACTAAATGCAGAGACAGTGAATAAGTAATACACAAGGTCCACAAAGTGCAGTGGTCAGGAGTGAGTAACTCAGAGTAGCACAGAGTGCAGAGGATAAAAGTAAGTAAGGCATACAGTGCAGGGGCCAGAAAAAAGTAAGGCAAAGTGCAGGGTCAGGAGTAAAAAACCTACAGAGTGCAAGGATCAGGGGTTGATAACATACTAAATGCATTAGTTGGGAGTAACACAGAGAACGTACTGCAGGTTGGGCACTAAGGTACTAAACAGGTGTAAATGTTTCTACTTAGTTTTTAGTCCAGGAGGTCTTGACGCAGCATGTGGTGTGATATCAGAACCTGTACACACTTATAAGGAGGAACCATGCCAAGTTCTGTGCATTGCAGTTAGACTAGACCTGCATAAAAAGGGAACCAAGCTGGAACCTAATTACATAATATACCCAGCATTAGCAAGAGACCTGCAAACATACACTTGATTGGAATTAGGGAGTTTAGGTGAGAGGCAGCCTACTGAAGGCTGTAATATTTGATAATTTTCAGAGCTCTGACCTGTCTACAGAAATGCTATGGTCATTGCATAGGGGCACCAGGTGGGGCAGAGTCAGTGCTCAATTGCCCTCATGAAATTCTGCCATGTTCCCAACAATGGAAAGAACCTAACAGAGAAACACATCCAATATTAGCAAGAGACCTGAAAACAGGCACATACTGTGTAACAGGGAGTCCAGTTGGAAGCCAGCCTCTCCTGAAGGTTGTGCTGTTTTTTTTAATTTTCAGAGCTCTGATCCTTTGTACAGAAATGCTAATCCAGTCTATGCTGTTACTGACACAATCTCCAGGTAAGAAATTTGCAACAGATTCCAAAAATCAAGACCACAGTAAATATTGAAGCAGGATGTACCGTATTTTCCGGTGTATAAAACGACTGGGCGTATAAGACGACCCCCTACTTTTCCTGTTAAAATGTAGTGTTTGGGCTATACTCACCGTATAAGACTACCTCTCTTCCAATGCACACCAGTGGGAAGAATCATGCCCCATCATTGGTGTCAGTGGGAGGAATAGTGTCCCATCATTGGTATTAGTGGGAGGAATAGTGCCCCATCATTGGTGTCAGTGGGAGGAATAGCGCCCCATCATTGGTGTCAGTGGGAGGAATAGCGCCCCATCATTGGTGTCAGTGGGAGGAATCGTGCCCCATCATTGGTATCAGTGGCAGGAATAGTGCCCCATCATTAGTATCAGTGGGGAGAATCGTGCCCCATCATTGGTGTCAGTGGGAGGAATAGTGTCCCAACATTGGTGTCAGTGGGAGGAATAGTGTCCCAACATTGGTGTCAGTGGGAGGAATAGTATCCCATCATTGGTGTCAGTGGGGGGTGGAATAGTGCCCCATCATTGGTGTCAGTGGAGGGGGGAGGAATAGTGCCCCATCGTTGGTGTCAGTGGGGGGGAGGAAAAGTGCCCCATCGTTGGTGTCAGTGGGAGGAATAATGCCCCATCATTGGTATCAGTGACACCAATGATGGGGCACTATTCCTCCCACTGACACTTGCTGACCCCTGTTCCAGTATGGTGCTGCTGCAGCCAGCATATGTGGTTGCAGCAGCACCTCTGTACGGCACACTTACCGGCCGCTCCTTCACTCGATTTTCGTGGGGGCCGCTCGGCTCCGCCTCCTCGCCGGTGATTGGCCGCCTGTGTGCCTTTCCTGAGCTACAGTTCTGGTGGCTAATCACCAGTGAGGAGGCAGAGCCGAGCAGCTGCGTGAACATCCAGTGGCAGAAATGAATGAAGGAGCAGCTGCGCTTCCTTGTCCGGATCGTTGTGGGACCGGAGCCAGGTAAGAAACAGCAGCCCCTGCCCACCCCTGTACTTAGTGTCCCTTCCGTTGTCAGCATGCCGTATACCGGCGTATAAGACGACCCCCGACTTTTGAGAAGATTTTCAAGGGGTAAAAAGTCGTCTTATACACCGGAAAATACGGTAAAACATATTAAAATACGATTCAGGGTTTACATACAATTTAATTGCATATAACATACATGGTGAGAACTGCACCAACATAAACATCTGGTACAGGTGTCATTATGCAATTTCACAAGCATGTAACTACACCAGAAATGTATACAAGTGAATCAGTATTATGCCATGTCACTCATAATATGATCAAAAATCACATAACATACTACACGAACATACAGTTATTACATAACATGTAAATTTATTGATAAAATTAGGAAGAGAAAGCTAATTCTGGCTATTTCTGAGTTTTAGATTATCTCATAGAATACTAAAGTAACCAGACGAACAAAAGCAAGAACCTCACATTACCCATTTCTTTCAGATTTTGTAAAAAAGAACATAACATAACAAACATTACAATAACTAACAAAGTATTTAAAGTTGCGTATAATATGTGAACTTTTGTGCAAGGACTTACATTAAATTGTTAGTAGATCGTCACTTTCATGTTTCTTTTAATAAGAATTTTTTGTGATTATAACTTGTACTTCAGAGGAGACAGTTATATACCTGTATATATAGTTCAGAATCCACTGAGGTGCATTCTCATGGTGTTGTCACCCTTGTGAATTCCTGATGTTCATACTGCTCAACTAAATCATAGGCCCTTTGGGAGTACATGTGTTGTTTTTTCAAAGGAGACAGTTTTTTTATATACATAGTTCAGAATCTCCTGAGGTGAAATCTTACAGTGCTATCACCCATATGAACTCCTGATGTTTACACTGCTGAACTAAATCATAAGCTCTTTGTGGTAAAAGTGTTGTTTTCTAACCAATACTTTCATCAGGAATGTGTTTTATTAAAGGTCACCTTTACTGATAGAGGAAGAGGCAGCACTCTGAGTGTGAGCTTTTTGGTTTAGCATATGTTCATGCTCAGGGCCACTGTGAGAAATCATGAACCCCCCGACCCTGCCCTTAACCACACCCCTGTCCTCTCCACTGAGCCCGCCTCGAAACAAAATAGAGCTTTGCCTTCAAGTGCATGCATTAGAAAGAGGAGCAGTTGCAAATAGGCAAATGAAGCCTAAGGCTACAGGGCTTTTTTTTTCTCAGAAAATAGGTGCAGGAACTCTATCACACCCCTATTGAAGCATTTTCCATCAACATAATCAGCAACACCCCCCCCCCCCCCCCCATGTGCTAAATACAGAATGCAGAGTTCAGGAGTGTACTACATACAGAATGCAGAGTACAGGAATAAGCTATATACAGAGTTCAGGGTTCAGCAGTTTATTATGCACAAAGTGGTGCAGAATTCAGGGGTGTGCCAGGAGTGCAGAGTTGAGTATTGCACTGCACAGAGAGTGCAGGGTTTGAGCATTGCACTAGGTACAGAGTGCAAGGTTCAGGATTGAGCTACTGTATGTACAGATTGCAGAGTTCAGGAGTGCTTTACATTCAGAGTGCAGGGTTCAGAAGTGCATTACATTCAGCATGCAGGGTTAAGAAGTGCGTTACAATCAAAGTGCAGGGGTGAGGATTGTGCTATGTACAGAGCAGGGGCGGACTGATAACTCATGGGGCCCCCGGGCAATAGGGGATCATGGGGCCCCTGTGTCCTTTCCCAAACTCAAAAAAGCCTATGAAAAAGGTACCAGGGGCATCTCAAGGGGCCCCCTACTGACCCCGGGCCCTCGGGCAGTGCCCGAGTTTCTAAATGCTCAGTCCGCCCCTGATACAGAGTGCAGGTGTGCATATATCACAGGACACTTCCGTGCTTGTAGGTGACAGTAGTGAGCGGCAATGCAAGGGGCATTATAAAACTTGAAAATGCCAGCTGGACAGGCCCCTTTTCAAACTGAAGGGCCCAGGCCCCCTACAGGAAGCTTGAAGGTACCCCTTATTGGCTTCCCTGTTCAGTCATACAGGAACAGAAAGCAGAGGGAGAGTGTAGCATGTCTTTGTACTCTACTAGTTAACTGCATTATACTCTACAGGTAGGTTAAGTATCTGTATTTCAACAAATTAGTCTACTCAAAGTGAAAACATTAATAAAGTACATAAAAATAAAAAAAAAGAATAAATAAAGTGCCCCGTGTTATTTAATACAATTCCAACAACAATGCGTGCTCCGCATTTATCATCTGTAAATAAAACACCACGTGCTGCACACATCTTTACCACTAGCAGCTCATCTTGACCTATAGAAATTATGTTCAAATGTGTCCCTTTAAGAGAATAAGCCATCATAGTGCTTTCCATAATTATCTAAAGATTTATCTACATATAAATGATAAAAATACACTCATGTAATCATGCGCACCATAACTGCTGCACAACAGAAAAATAACGTTCACTCTCTCCTTAAATACCACAAGAAGCAATGTAGATGGAGGCTGCAATCTGTATTCACAGGACCTCTGGTGCATGGAAATCTTTTTGCTATCTCCTTAAGTATTGGCGTTTGCTCCATTCAGATGTCAGCATCAAGCAGCGTTACCATTTGCCCTACTTCCTAGGATTGTGTGCTATGTCACTGGTTCTGCCATACTTCACTATGGCATATTAGTGCTTGCTTTACAATGCTCAGAGTGATAAGATCCTTTTTTGTAATTTTGGCAGCAGTTTTTTTCCTCACTTTTTTCAATTTCTTCCTCACTTGTTTTGTTTACTCCAAAATAGCTAGCTATGTTGAAATTTTTATGGAAGGTTCCTTTCTCTAAAATATGTCACACTTGGGAATTTATTCAACACCATTTTCAAGTCCTTATCCTCTGTTAAAATTACCCAGTATTTATTCAGTATTTGATAAATCTATTCCAACTGTGTAGATTAATTGCCTTTGACACAAATTCATTTTTTCCCTGTCTTTCAATTATCCAACAGCATCTCTACACTCTTTGAATCAACTTTAGAGATGACATTCTGCTGCAAAATCTTCATTGGAGGAACTTCTTGTCCATTTGTAACTTGTCCTATTGGGATTTAGGTTTAATAAAGATGGTGGAATTTATGACAGTTCAAAGAGAACCCATGGGGGTTGATTTACTAAATTTAAATAGGCTGTGCACTGCAAGTGCACTCCAAGTACACTTGGAAGTGCACTGAAAGTGCAGTTGCTCCAGATCTGAGGTGAAAATGCAAGTGTAAGCCGTGTACCGGGGTGGGCTCCCCAGGATACAGTGAAGTCACGAACGAGGAAAGCAACCCCAACACCAGCTTTTGCCACAACAGAATTTTACTTAGCTGTGGCAAATAAACACAACCACAAATGCTGGAAACATACAATAAACTTACATATACCCAGCCCAAAGGCTGAGACCCTTGTGCTGCACAGCACGGTGCCTTATGATGGATAAAGGTAGAAAGTGAAGTAATTTACCTACTGGAGGGCACAAATAAGCTGCCACACCTTACCTGTTATTACCCTAAAAGAGCAGGAATCAGTGTATGGGTGTATGGTATGGGCTAGCCTGCGGTGCAGCACAACAGCTTACAATCTTACACAAATCTACAGTATCCCCCCTCCCATAACTGGTCCTGTAGCACGTGCCTGAGTATTCCTTCTGAGCAAAACGCCAGTCTGGCTTGAGTTTGTAGGATTTTATCAGCTCTCCAATGTGAAATGTCACTTTAAGTTGTGGAGTCCTTCCAATGATCAGTAACAACAATTGTGGCCGGACACAAACAGAGACCCTAACTAACTAACTATAGGTCTGGCCTCAGTCTCAAGGCGCCAACATTGAAATGAGGTGCGTGCACGATCTTACCGACCCAGGTCTGCTTTTCATCAGCTGGTGACTCTGAACAGAACAACCGTCTCTCCAACAAGCTTGCGATCTTGCAGTGTATGCTGCATTGTTCCTCTGCTCTCATCAGCATTACTAGCAGAAATCTTCCTTTCTCTGAACAGGATCAAGGTCTTGGACACGATCAACTTCAGCCAGCTTCAGTTCTGGCCACGAAGGGAAGCTCCCACACTGGGATGTCATCGGATTCTCAGCTCACACGGCCCATACATTCAGCATCGTCCAAAACATGGCTGCAGTCTCCTCTTCCTGTTTTCTCACCTCTTCATGAAAATGCAAATATCTATGCAGTCTGAGCCTGTGTTTAAAAAAACAGTGACATCTTGTGGCTAAACTGCACAATGTCAGTCAAAACATCAATTTACTCCACACAATAATTTACTGCACACAGTGTTCAAACAGTGAGAGCTGTTTCCCCATCTCACACAAGGAAAATAAAAAACAGCATTTTTGCTAGCACATGATTGGATGAAAGAGAAATCAGCAGAACTTAGCCTCATTTCAGAGCTATTCCCTCAGATCTAAAGCAACTGCACTTGCAGTGCATTTGCAGGTGCGCTTGCGGTGCACTTTCCGTGCACAGTATATTTACCTTTAGTAAATCAATCCTATGGTATCATCCTGAGGGTATCATCCATAAATAAATCACATAAACCATACAAAAAAGGGGAAACTTTAAAGTGTTACTATCCAGGGCTGTGTATTCACTATATCTGGTCTCCCACAGTACACAGAACATGGAAGTGCAATTATTTTAGCAAATCTAAACTGCTAAATACCTTTTCTCATCATCAGTTAGAGCAGTCTTGTGATTTCTATCAGTGTTCAGCAGAGCATATGTTAAAGCTTGTAGGAGGAGTTTTCTTTCTGCTCTAGGAGGATGCAAAACCCCTGACCTCTGTCTGGACAGTGCTGATTGGCCCTGTGCTGATCACAAGCACTCTCCCAAGAAAAAAAAACTCTCTAGTAATACACACTAAACTGAGCATGTGAAGAATGGCTACGGTTCAGTCTGTCTTATCAGGAGATAAGATGTGGACATTTGAACAAGACAAGGTGCAGAGAAGTCAGAATCAAACGGCCTTTTACACACTGCAGAGGATTAACACCCTTAGGTTCCACAGTGAGTATAACAAACATGCTTTACTGCATATACAGACTGACTTTACTGTAGTGGGTTTAGTAATACTTTAAGCATAACCCTCAAGTGGCAAATTGTTGCATAAAAGATTTCACAGGATTACATCACCTGAAAAATCACAGATTTATTATACAAACGTTTAAAAAGGGATAAGGAACACCTCAAACATATCATTATAACTTCATCAGGACATTTACACCAATCCTCAAGGCTGCTGTAAGACCAATCTGGGGTAAACAATATGAAAAAATATGACAAATGTATGTGTATATATATATATATATCACATCAAACTGAAAAATAAATCAGTAATAAATAAAATATACAAAACTATTATAAAAAAAAACACTGTCTATAACACCCAGAGGGCAAAAGAAAAAGAAACACCATATATATAACCATCCACACCTATAACACAACACATACCTATAACATATCTTTTCAAAGACTACAAGGATCAAGACATGGTTTGTAGGCTAAATCAGTGACCCCAAGTCTGAATGGAGGATAGGATTGCATATTAAGTAGATTCTAGAATTGATCTTCTGTCTCAGCTTAGAGCTGATAACTGATACTGATGGCTGATGGGAGAAGTGTAAACTGTTACTTAAAGTAGAAGTCCTGGGTATAACTATCTACTCCTAAAAATGCTTCCATCCCTTTTCTACCTCCTATTCTAACTACCCTGTAGGCTATGTACAGGGGAGAGGAGAGATTGCCGATAATGCCTGGGCGATGACATCAACCATAGGCTTATCAACCATTGGCATATTCCATTATTGGCTGTCCCCCTTCTCCCCTGAGACCACCACTGGGAGCAGAATGTCCTTAGAATAGATACGTATGAGCATCTTCCTTCTACAGTGTATTTAAAATAGGTTAGGAGGTGGGTGGGAGCAGATTTAAAGCCTGGACTTCCACTTTATCTATGTCTTTAGCAATGCAATGCTGACACCAGTTGTTATATGATTAGAAAATCAATCAAACATTACTGAAATTAAAGTTTTCAAATTACTGTATTTTTCGGCATATAAGACGACTTTTTAACCCATGAAAATCTTCTCAAAAGTCGGGGGTGTCTTCTTTTACGCCGGTATAAGGCGTGCTGACACTTCCGAGCCGGTGTCAGGGCAGGACTTTTTAGAGGGGCGGCACGGTGCCGCTGCCGCCCCCCCCTTCCAATGGAAGGGACAATAAGTACAGGGGTGGGCAGGGGGCTGCTGTTTCTTACCTGGCCCCGGTCCCAGTCCCACGATGATCCAGTCCAGGAAGCGCGGCTGCTCCTTCATTCAGTTCAGCAGCTCGATGTTCACGCGGCTGCTCGGCTCCGCCTCCTCACCGGTGATTGGGCGCCAGAACTGTAGCTCAGGAAAGGCACACAGGCGGCCAATCACAGGCAAGGAGGCGGAGCCGAGCGGCCCCCACGAAAATCAAGTGAGGGAGCGTCCGGTAAGTGTGCCGTGCAGATGGTGCTGCTGCAACCACGTATGCTGGCTGCAGCAGCACCATGCTGGAACAGGGGTCAGCAAGTGTCATTGGTGTCAGTGGGAGGAATAGTGCACCATCATTGGTGTCACTGATACTAATGATGGGGCATTCCTCCCACTTACACCAACGATGGGGCACTATTCCTCCCCCCACTGACACCGACGATGGGGCACTATTTCCCCCCCCCCACTGACACCAACGATGGGGCACTATTCCTCCCCCCCACTGACATCAACGATGGGGCACTATTCCCCCCCCCCACTGACACCAACGATGGGGCACTATTCCACCCCCCACTG